CCCCAAAACCCCAAAACCCCAAAACCCCGCTTATCTCATTTGCTGTGAGGTAATATAATTGTAATCATGAACTAATTAATCTAATATTTATATTAATTAAGCAAAAGAGATTAATGTCAAGACATAAAAACATCAAGAGCATCATTTAGGATAGCTACTACGATGATGATTACTATAATGACTATGGTGAAGAATACGGCTAAGAAGTATATGGAACAGAAGAAGAGATAAAAGAACAGAAGAGATTTGATAAATTAAAAAAGAAGGCAAAGAAGTGTAAGAATATGCATCATTTTAAAGAGTGTTTTATTAGAGCCTTAGTGTGATGAGAAAGTAGTTTAAGAGATAGTGATACAGTTTGGAAATTTCTTTACATATGATTAAGTTAAGCAAACCTTGATTGCAAATTAAAATGATAGATTGAAGACATAGGCTGACTTAAAGTTCAAAGAAAGTAAAGAATTTGATTCATTTCTAATAATAAACTTAGACACTCTCAAAAAGAAGAATAAAGATAACATAAAGCAGGTCAATCAGGAAAAAAAGAAAAAAGAAGAGGAGGAGAAGAAAATGATGACGAAGGAAGAAGAAGAGTTCAAGTAGTACGAGATTCAGTTGCTTAAAAAGGAGAAAAGTATGAATCAAGATGACCAGATCGATCATAAGGTCTTGAATTAGATTTACCCAGATGTGCAGTATGCCGATGCAAATCTGATATAAGCAATTGATGAAGATAATAAGACAATCAACTTAGTCATTATTGGTCATGTTGACAGTGGAAAGAGTACATTGATGGGTCATATACTTTTTAAGCTAGGTAGAATAGACAAACAGCATATGCATAAAATTGAAAAGATTAGTGACTAATATGGAAAGAGCAGTTTTAAATTTGCATACGTATTGGATGAAGGTGAAGAAGAGAGGCGTCGAGGAGTCACTATTAATGTTGGACAAAGTTACTTTTAGACAGAAAAGAGATAATTCGTAATATTAGATGCTCCTGGCCATCAAGATTATGTCCCCAACATGATAAGTGGAGCATCATAAGCCGATTGTGCTATCCTTGTAGTAGAGGGTATCAGATAAGAGTTTCTCAGGGGATTTATTGGAGGATCTACAAAAGAACATGCCATTCTGGCAAGAAGTTTAGGTGTCACCTAATTAGTTGTTGCTGTCAACAAATTAGACATGGTTGAATGGTCTGAGGATGCCTATAATGAGATTATAAATCATGTTTAGCCATTCTTGCTTTAAATTGGATTTAGACAAGATAATATAAGCTTTGTGCCAATAAGTGGCCTTAATGGAACTAATTTAATCGAAAAGCCAACTTCTTTACCTGAATTGACATCTTGGTATACTGGTCCCTCTTTGATCGAATACTTGGACTAATTGAAAGTTCCAAAAAGAAATATATATAAACCTCTCAGAGTTTGTCTCTATGATTACTACAAAGGCACTGAAGGCAATTTAATAGGTGATTGTGTATAAGCTAAAGTAGAATCTGGCATTATAAAAGAAAAAGATCATTTATTGCTTTAACCTTATAACATTATGGTTACAATCAAGGCCATAGAAGCATCTAATTAATTGATAAAATATGCAGCTCCAGGTACACTATGTGATATATCTTTACACCTTCCTTCATCTTTTGATCCGAACTATCTAAAGTCTGGAAATGTGATCTGTGATCCTAAATATCCCATCCATTAGGTTAAAGAATTTAGATGCCAAATAGTTGTTTTTGATATAGAAATTCCCATCACCAGAGGTCAACCAGTGACAGTCTACAGTTTTTCAAACAGAGTATCGGGTCGAATTTCGAAACTAGAGAGTGTTGTTAATCCGAAAACTGGAGAGTCAATAAAGAAAAACCCGAGGTAAGGACTATTTTAAAATTTATTGATTTAATAGATGTCTTATGAAAAACTAAACTGCGATAGTGCATATTAAATTAGAGGAAAAAACTTGCATGGAATTGTTCAGTAACTACCGCACCCTTGGCAGAGCTACACTTAGAGATGGATAGAGAACTTTGGCCGCAGGTATAAATATCGAATTAGGGTAAAAATAGCTACCTTTATGAATAATATAGGCATCCTGAAGCTCATGAAAAGGGTTCTATTTAAACATAATAAATATACAAAGCCTAATGATCATAAATATGATTTTCGTAACCAAATTCTTATAAATATCTGATTTGACGGGGTTTTGGGGTTTTGGGGTTTTGGGG